ACACATCGATGGGAAGATCCAAACAAACAATACTAAGTGAATTCAAACTGACCATATTGTACCATAAAAAAAGGGTAACAACATTTGTACAAGATTCAGCTAAATGTAGCTGCGAATAGGTGAGATAGTAAGTGGTAGACAAGGCATAACTCAAGAATGGTAAATCGTATAATAATGGTCTATGGGTCAAAATAAAGCTTATAATAAGAGGGATATGAATATGAATAGATTAGTTACTTAGCAATTATACAGTAGGAAATATACATATCATATTGGTCTATAAATGGATTCCAACAGTTATCATTCATTATTCTTATTCGGGATATAACAAAAACAACTGATCAAAACTAATGAGAAAAACGATTCAAATGAAATTATCACTTATCCTTCAAGTACATTTTGTATTTGACTTTTTTATGATAGACGTTCTACTATAGAATTCACTAAACTATTGTATACAAAATTAAATAAGGATTTGTATTTAAATGAAGTTTGCTGGGGGTCTATAATTCATATTATACCAACGAGAATAATGAATGGTAACTTTGGCATCCATTTATGAACTAATACTATGCATATATTTTGACTGTATAATTGAGAGTTCGTGGATGCACACTGCCACTGAGGAGTCCCACAATAGGACGAAACGGCCGTCCAGTTCTTCCAGGTTTCCCATGATGTTAGTCTAGCTTCAATTGACTTATGATTTCAACTATGTGAATACTAAATCTCCACACAGAAAAACTCCTTTTGAATTGCTAAATAACTAAACTATTCATATTCGTTTCCCTCCTCTTATGAGCTTTATTTTGACCTATGAACTATTACTATACGATTTACCATTCTTAAGTTATCTCTAGTCTATTGATTACTTTTCCCCCTATTGACAGCCACATTTGACTAAATCTTGTACAAATTTTGTTTTTTATTTTATTGGTACGATGTGGTCAGTCTCTTTGGTATATAAACTCATTATGTTTGAAATGAATGATTCATATTGCAGGGACTGTTATTGGTGTTCTGAACTTAACTGGTTGGGCTAGACGAAAAGCAGAACAGATGAGGACTCTAGACTGCTCTTCCGCGTTTCGTGTGTCATTTAGTCTGATTAACAAATAACTGCTCTCGAATTGGCGACATCATTACGTTATATGTTAATAGGGCACACAGGCCACAAGATATAACAATAGTATTTACAATTTACTTACCATTGATTAGTGAACGGTGCTACATGCCCACTAATGTTGAGTAGCACTACTTCTAAATCATAATTATAACAAATCATTTTCTATAGGAGTGAATCAATCATATAGATTATTCATCATCCTACTTATTATATCTTGAATGTTGATGAAATTCGATATATCACACATGACATAAGTTATTTCCAATTTCCAATATGCCCCCAAATGCTCTGGTATGACTGAGAGTGGGGAGAGTCCACTCTCCCTCTCCAAATGCTCTCACATCGCCACACGTATATAGCCTCTGTCAGGGAAGTCCTACTCACTGCCTTCTCGTGGCATTACTGTTGTTTACGAAATTGAGAGGAAGAAAAGCGAATAAATAACGCTTTAACCGGGTTGGTGGACACAGAAAGTCCACCTAAAGAAGTTGGAAAACTCTGATTCCAAACCAATGGTGCACATGGGCTGGTTCCAGTATCCTGAGGGAACAAATGGCGTATGAATCAATTGTCGGTCACCGGCTACCATGGGACTGCATCTCCTCACGATGCTCCACTATCTTGTGGATCAGTCCTTTAGGTCAAAGTCTCCGAGTGTGGCTCCTAAAGAAAATCACCTGCTTCAGTTTGGGCACCTGGGTAGTATCATAGCCCTCACACAAATCAAATAAGATTTGTGTGGCTCATATGTATTTGGTGCTTCCTTGTACCAATATTTATGTGTTTATATAAATAAATAAATAAATAAATAATTTAGAATATTAGATATATTGTTTCAGCCTGTCAGTACATAAAATCAGTCAATCAAGATCGACGTCTACAGAACAAGCTGATAGTCATATATAGAGAAATTATAATGCTTCACTTCTACTTGAAGTTTGTGCTGATGATGTTGTTCAGGAAAACGATGAAAGCTCCATGATCAAATTATTCAGCTTAGGGTACAAAACTTCACTAAAATCATCCACCTAAGCTGCAAATCTTCTCCACCATTTCAAATTGTTAAAATACGATTTATACATTTCGACAAACCATATCAACTAAATCACGGTGGACAGTAGCTTATAACTATTATGACGGGATTGTAATTACATTCCATATTGAACTATGTGATGTTTAAAACATAAACAAATGTTCAGTTGGTATGGTTTGCTTAAATTTTCCCATTGATGTTTAGGGCTAGAATTAATCAGTCTCTTGATGAAATATATGAATCCTGTGTGGAATGCCTCGATATTGCCTGAAGTCACAAGCATTCTAAGCAAAAATGGATTGTGGCTAGCAGTGGAATCTAAGAAGAGCGTCCTGTCCTATTTGGGACTCATCAGCTGGATGTACATATACCAATAAGAGACTGATTAATTTCAGTCCCAAACATCAGTAGGAAGATTCAAACAAACAATACCAAGTGAATTTAAACTTCAACCCATTGTATAAGCAAGTGCCTATCAGGGCTCAGTAGATTAGTGAATAACGCGATGGTGTTTGGAGTGAACGATACTGGGTTCGAGTCCCTGATGGGATGTAGATACATCCCAATAACCTACTAATGTCCTTGTTTAGAAATCAAACTACATTTCAGATCTGAGTTTCCACGTTGAGAACTCATTTTATTTAAACAACCATTAAGAACCAGACAGTAATGACATAACTGTTTTTCCTTGGTATGAGATTACTTACTAGTGAGTAACAATTAGAAAATCCCCGAGCTTCTATTAAGAAGCCGTAACTAGTAGAATTTATCCACGTCAGACATGAGAAAGGTGGAATTCTCCATGGGAATCCATGTTGCTGAATGATCTGAAGGTAACTCTGACATTATCAGACCTGAAAATTTGGATTACTAAAACGCCCTATAATACAACAAAATATTTGTTCAATGTTTCTTGGTAATCAATCCTTGCAACCGTTGGATGCCGGCTCAGTGGTCTATCGGTTAAGTGCTCCGGCGCGAGACTGGTAGGTTCTGGATTTGAATCTCGTGAGTGGGGGATCGTGGATGCGCACTGCCACTGAGGAGTCCCACAATAGGACGAAACGGCCGTCCAGTGCTTCCAGGTTTCCCATGGTGGTCTAGCTTCAATTGACTCATGATTTCAACTATGAAAATACTGAAATCTCAACAAAACCCCTTCTGATCTAAGCTCAAATTAATCCATAATGATAGTCAATTCAACTTCTAAGTAGTTTATAGATACTATTTAGTAGTACTTAGTAGTAAATACTGAATACCTAATTAGTTAATGGTACAGATTAAGATTACCATTCTATGAAGTCATTTGAGAAAACCAATCATTCATTTGGTATTGTTTGTTTGAATCTTTCCACTGATGTTTAAGACTATAATTGATCAGTCTCTTTTGGCATATGTCTATTCTGTGAGTATCTCTTTGATGTTATCACCAATTCACATGGATTTTAAACGGAGATGGATGATGGATTTTACATAAGACTCATCATGGATCAATATTTTAATCCTCTTTATATTTCGAATGTAATGTTCAATGAAATCTGAAAGGTATGTTACGTCCCATCTTTATCTGAAATCCAGAGTTGATGTGTACAATGGGACTCAAACCATGTTAGAATCATTTCAAATATCAACGCATTATCCATTAAGCTAATGAGTTCAGATTGGTATTACAATATTCAACATTTTAGATATTTAATTAACACAGTTTATACTGTCAGTGTGTTGGTATCCAACTGAAGCGACAGACAGAAGGTACAATTATCAGTGTGAACATTTACACTCGTTTACAGGCATATTCAATCAATGATACCTAAATAAGCTGAAACGGTCATCCGTAATTTCATTTCTAGCTCTAATTTGTCCATAATGAGAACTCCTAACTCAAAGATTTCTTCAAGGAAATGTATTCATGATGCGAATATAACAATAGAGATTGATAAATTTAAGAAAACACCGATTCCTACATGTAACCAGTTTAATTTTTTTTCAAAACTAAATATAATCTAAATTCACTTGGTGTTGTTAACTTGTATCTTTCCATTGTTACTTAGGACTGCAATTGATCAGTCTCTTGTTGGTATATATACATCCTGTGTGGAATGCCTCGATATTGTCTGAAGTCACAAGCTTCATAAGCAAAGATAGATAGTGGATAGCAGTGAAATCCAGGACGCGCGTTTCGTCCTATTTGGGACTCATCAGCTGGATGTACCTTCACTACAGAGCTGATATTCACTATGGGACTCGAGCCCAGTACCGTACGCTTCAAACGTCACTTAGCCACTGAGTCCTGAGTGAACATCAAGTCTGAGATGCAGGCATATCCAGCTGAAAAGTCTCAAATGTGACGAAACGCGCGTCTTGGATTCCACTGCTAACCACTGTCCATCTTAACTATAATCTTATTGAAACTCATCATAGATACATTATTATATCAAATGAAATCAATTGTTCTATCAACATCAACAACTCCGTCTGTAGCTCTTCTAGAAGTACTGCCAGTCCCAAGCCCGGATAAAGGAGGAGGGTTGGGCATGAGGTTAGCGACCCCATACCGTAGAAAAAACTAACTCGCTAAAAAACGCTAATCAGAAAAAGTAATTCAAACCATTTAAACTCTGCCCTGGAAGTTGAAGGAATAAGCAGATATGAAAAAGATGAATAACAACAGGAAAGGATTGCCCAGGATAGAGTTGGGTGGAGAATGTTGGTGGGCGGCCTATGCTACTCCACGAGGGGTAACAGGCGTAAGTAAATAAAGTAAGTAATCAACATCTGACCAACCTTAAGACAATATAGTATTGATTATTATTCAGGAAACAATGAATGGTCCCAATGATTAACAAAATTATCTCCGCCCAAATGATTCTTTCAATCATCGATTTATAATTATTATTTAATAATTTATTTTAAAAATATAAAAATGACTATGACGTTTAAAGTAGTATACACACATATATCTCCAATGTATATAATATACAAGTTAACATTAAAACAATAAAACCTTGATTTGTTTCGAGTTAAATTAGAAACAACCCATATAGAAATATAGAAAGGGGGGGTGATTATCTATACAAGATAATTATTGAATATTATAATGATCCATTTACAAAAAAGGAGGGGGGGAGATAAACAGTAGGGTATGGTACCATAAAATCCCCCACCCCCGAAAAAAAATACAAAAAAAAAGAGAAATCGTACAGGTTTTTTTATGCATCTTTTAGTCCGATCGATAATCCACTGCTCTTAGACTGGCGGCGGCATCATCCCATTATTAATACTGTTAATTAATTTGCCATAGAATCATCATCATTATCTGTATATTTAATATGTAATTGATTTGGACTAATATGAAAACGTGACCATGATGTTATATCATTAGATTTTTGACGATTTTTATATTTACGTTTAGCATTTAACCAACAAAATATACCTAAACATATCATTGATATATAATATAAAAATGTTAATACAAGTGCCCAAATCTCTGCCGATGAAATGGTATACGATGATGTTGATGAGGGTGACAATGATGATGATGATGACGACGACGACGATGATAATGATGAAGGAATTACATCGACTGTATTCAATTGAATTTGATGTTGATCAATTATCAAATCATCTAACATGACATATATGTATCTATATACGTTTTTTATACAGATTTATGATTCAATTTATATAAATCCTTCAACATATTCCTTTACTCTCTTTATTTATCTGATATGGGGAATTAATTCCAAAATGACTTTTATTTTGAATAAGATGACTTACTTGATTATACGATCATTTTAAATATCAATGTTTTGTTTTGGTTTGTTTGTTTGTTTGGTTTTTTAAATTTGAGTTCAATTTATAAATGAACCAATGATGAATAGGTAGGCGTTAAATATTAGGTCTAGTTTAATTTTAACCAATCAGAAAAGAGTTAAATGATCATAATGACCTTCAGAAATTTAACCAATGAAAATGCTAGTTTAAATATAGATTTAAAAAAAATTTTTTTTTTAAAACAATGGGAATATTTTATTTTATCGATTTCTAAGGTGAAATATAAAATTTCAAGGATTTGATTGATAGGGGAGTTTTTGGTGGAGATTTTTAATAGTTTTATTTATAGTTGATATCATGAGTCAATTGAAGCTAGACTAAAATCATGGGAAACCTGGAAGCACTGAACGGTCGTTTTGTCCTATTGTGGGACTCCTCAGTGGCAGTGCACATCGACGATCCCACCTCGCGAGATTCGAAACCAGGACCTACCAGTCTCGTACCGGAGCACTTAACCAATAGACCACTGAGCTGTCCGGCATCCAACAGTGTTAATGTCTAACTTCAACCAATTCACGAAATTGAGAAACCATTCTCCAATTGTCTTCAGTGAGTTGATATCTCCCAACAGACCTAGTTGAACTCCACTGGTTACTGCTTCTTACTAGAACTTCAGGAAATAACTTTTGAAACCAGTCACTAGTGAGCATATGTTGAATAATATCAGAAAGGGTTTCGAATCTCGCGAATGCAGGGTCGTGGATGCGCACTGCCACTGAGGAGTCTTACAATAGGACAAAAAGGCCGTCTAGTTCTTCCAGGTATTTTATGGTAGTCTAGCTTTAATTGATACATGATCTCAACTATAGAAAATTACTAAAATCTCCACAAAAATACCCTCTTCTGATAACCTACAGTTATAAGTCCATTATTACTTCCTAATTGTGTTATTTTTAAATCAGAAACTTCATTAAATAAAGGTCAGAAGTATTCGTGGCAAAGTTTCAATTCATTATCAATCATGTGGCGGCCTGTTTAAATATCTGAGCTATCTGATCCTTCCCTCTAGATATTACAAATCATTATAACTAATAATCGTACAACCTATTAAGATGAGTTTAGGAAGAGTGTACAACCTTCCTTTGCACAAATTATAAAAAATCTCAATCAGAGACATCATGGTTGCTAGTAGGCAATATGCATTCCATAAGAATGTATATTATTCAAATGTCGATTCTTGGACTACTAACATTTAACTGGTGATCACCCAATATTTATTGTCAGAATCGATCAAGTAATATGAAAAGGAAACTCGTTGAAATACTTTGTATTGAAAATTCTATATATAATATTGAATAAAGCCATTAATAGTAATAATAATAATAATACCGTTGTGTCAGTCAGTCAGTCCCAACGTAGAACTTCGTACATACGTACGTACATCAGTTCGAGTTGCTATACCATATTAGCACAGAGATACAGTTGTCTATTCAAATTCCATAGTAGTAGAAGTAGTTATAGTATAAGCAGTAATTGGAAAGATTAGGGTTTTAAGATATTATTTAAGGTGTATAATGCAGTGAAATAAATTTGGAAAGAGGAAAAAAGATAGAGACATGAAGAATTCAGAAGATTAGAATTTGGTAGAACACAAATAGTGGATACACCTTCGCTATTGCAAACGATTTTGAGCCATGTCATTCAACGTCTCTAACCATCGATTGCTATCATCTCGCGGATCCCAACCAGGTAGTAAAGGTAATTACAATGAAAAAGTATTTATGTTAATTGGGAAAGATGAATATAAAACAAGACAGATACTTTGAAACTGTAAACCTAATATTGTTAGACCCCTATGCATCATTTACAATGTCAAAATGTATGTTCTTCAAAGAAAAATAAAATAACGTCATTTAATTGTGTCAACCTCGTATAAGAATCTTCAGCAGTTCGTACCTATGACCTCATTACAAGAGATAAAACCGGCCAGGGCTCTCGCACACGAACGCTTAACCTTTAAACCACTAACACGGTATCTAATGATTTACATATTAAACTTCCATCAATCTGTAATGCCACTCAGCCATCTTCCTATGTACGTAATTAGTAACTGGCTCAAATTCAACGTGGTTATAATTCACCAGTCACGGCTTCTCATCAGAACTTGTTGACTAGTGAGCTCATGATTATTAACTATAGAGCGTTTAGAAGTGATTAGACGTTTGTATGCTAGGTTGAAGGTCTAAGGTTCAACTCCTTGTGGAGTTGTATATATATATAATGCTGAGAACTTCGCAATAGGTACAATTATTTATTTAGCCCTCCTTAAATCTTAATGGTTGTTTAACTAAGATTAGTTCGTTATAATGACTACAATGATCGAACATTTATTGAGCGTAGCAGAGAATTTCATTAAATTTGTAATTTTACCAGTCAAACTACTGATTGGTAATAAGTAGTGTAGATATTGTTATAAACTGATGACGTAGATATGTGATGGAGTTGGGAATTAGCGAAGAGGTTAATCACTTTGTGGGAGTTTCTATTTTGTTGTTAGTGATACTGAGGACAGCACTTGATAAACCTTTACTGATATATCATGCCTGAGTGAGTAGCCTCGATATTTCTGATACCTGGTTATGTCCATCAAGTTTAGTATTATTGGTAACTGTACTGAATGAATATGAACTTAAAAGTTAAATAATATCATTCGATGTTAATCAATTGGTTTCAACAGCTAGGCATTCGGCCTCAGACGTAAAAGATTTGAGTTCGATTCACGTAGCGATCATAACTGGCCACTGTTGATGAGTCCTATATTACGGTGAGAAATCACTCTAGATCCTCCTGGTTTTCACTAGTACTCCAAAAAAATGGATCTACAAGGGATACAATCTACAAGTGATGGATCCATTCGAAATGGTTTACATTTTCCCGTTGGTGACATTGAATACAAAAGGAAAGTGTACATTCTATAATCCCGTCTGCTTATTAAATGAACGATGACTTTATGGCGATAACCAATTTATTGTCTAGTCCAAAATTACAGAGTGATTTAGTAAAATGTGAAAATCATACACTAGCACCTATCTATCTTTGCTTACAATGCTTGTGAATGTAGGCAATATCGAGGCAATACGCACAGTATGCACATATGCCAATTAGAGACTGACCAGTTGCAGTCCTAACAAATCGATGGGAAGATTCAAACAAACAATTTATTTATTCTCTGAAGAAGTGGCTTACACTGAGTCACGAAACGTCAGAAAATCTAATTTTTCTACTCATTGGAATATTACAAATATATAATTTATTTATAACAATCTACCCAATGCTCAATTTATTCAAAATTATCAAATCAAGTCTTGGTAATGATACCTACAAACAATACTAAATGAAATTAAACTTCATCCCATTGTACAAGCAAGTGGCTATCGGGAATCAGTAGCTGAGTGAATAACACGATAGCGTTTTAAGCGAACGGTACTGGGTTCGAATCCCAGAGTGAACATCAACTCCGAAATATATAGGTACATTCAGCTGACGAGTCCCAAATAGGACGAAACCCACGTCAAACTGGATTCCGATGCAAACCATTATCCATCTTTGCTTACAATGCTTGTGAATTGAGACTATATCGAGGCAATACGCACAGTATGCACATATGGCCAATGAGAGACTGACCAGCTGCAGTCCTAACAAATCGATGGGAAGATTCAAACAAACAATACTAAATGAACTAAATTAATCATTTACATATCGTCATTGAGTTGTTACTTAAAAACTTCAACGCTTCTTTATCCATATTGTTATATTTATTGCTTTCAGTTTACTTCTCATTTCTCTCTTCATTTCAATCTTCTGTTAGCAGGTATTCCACTTCTTCTTAATGCTACATACTACTTATGTCTATCAACATAAGTAGCATGTACCACACCTACAGAGAACGAGTCAATTTGAAAAAATTTTTCTCTATGATTGATAATTGAGTATGTGTATACACTGTTAGTGACTTGAATCACATTCCAATAAACTGTTTCATTGTAACTTCAGTATTATAATGGTCATTTGTATTTAAGTTTAAAGTAAGTTATTGTTGATAAGGGTTTACATTTCTTCTGAAATGTCATTCAGTTGATTACTTCTGAAGTTGTCGCTAGAATATATATATATATAAACAGATAGATAGATGGATGGATAGGCGGAGATAGATAGATAGATAGATAGATAGATAGATAGATAGATAGATAGATAGATAGATAGATAGATAGATAGATAGATAGATCGATAGATAGATAGATAGATAGATAGATAGATAGATAGATAGATAGATAGATAGATAGATAGATAGATAGATAGATAGATAGATAGATAGATAGATAGATAGATAGATAGATAGATAGATAGATAGATAGATAGATAGATAGATAGATAGATAGATAATACAGCATTCCATGATCTGTTTTAAACAGAAGTTGTATAATTAAAATATAGTCTACTTAAATGAAATTCATTAATATGCCGAGCATACGTATGCTAGATCTAATGAGTGAAATCCATAAATAAGACAAAGTATTTATTCACTTATTTCTACAATTTGGAATAACTCTTCAACTAATGCCAACCTATATTTTCATAGTTGAAATCATGAATCAATTGAATCTAGACCACCATGGAGAACTTGGAAGCATTGGACGATCGTTTCGTCTTATTATGGGACTCCTCATCAGTGCGCATCCACGATCCCGCCTCGAGAGATTCGAACCCAAGACCTATCAGTCTCGCTCACGAGCGCTTAACCGCTAGACCGCTGAACCGGCATCCAACGGTGTTAATGTCTAAATTCAACCAATTCATGAAATTGAGCAAACATTCACCAATGTCTGAAAGTTGTTTATATCGAGACAATTACATATGAATGAAGATTTATACACTCATATAACTCAGTCAACCAAAGTTTTTGTTCAAATAAATCAATTTAGAAATGTGTTGGTAAAAGAAGATCAAATATATGATTTGATTATATTGGTGAATTCATTCGGTTGCATTATATATATTGTATATAGCATTATAGAA